ATAATCCAACCCTAAGCCTTGGTTATACTTTATTGAATAATATTTAGTATTCAACATGATTATCCTTATCTTTGATAAAAATTTTAAAGCGCTGCTTGAGATTACTATTTATAATAGATACGCTTAGCTTAGGTATATCTTGAGCAGTGATCCTCGTGAGAAACACGATGAAACACTAACAACAAGCTCCTCTTTTACCTTGAATGCTAAGTTTTTCATTCAAACAATGAATGTACTGATGGCGTAATGAAATTACGTGTATTATAGGAACGTGTGTTTTACTCTGTATGAAATAGAATTCCAGGTTTGTAAACCTCAGAATTTCTCGAAAGACGAAGTAGGAGAAGAGAAGAGAGCACTAATCTTTCAGGCATCGCGCAATGCGAATTGTACGGTGACTAATGTCTGTTTCCACTAATGTGGATTAATCTCTTCAACTTACTTTTTGTCTTTTTCTATATGTATATACACTGTCCACAAATAATAATTACTTATTTCAACACTGAAAAAGAATATATTAAATTTTAATAAATATTTATTTGAACAATGCCAACTAAACATTTACTTACAGTAAATAAATATTTACTTAATGAAATAATGAATAGAGAAATAATAATTAAATCGAATTAATGATTCTTGTACTAAATAAATGTATCTTTGTATTTAATAAATATTTAGTTGACGCTTCAAATATATGATTTATTAATTAATTTAGAAACATTTTACAAATAAAGTATTTTGAAAGTTCGCATATCTGGAAGTTTATTCACAAGTTTATCACAAAAGCAGCAATTTATTGAAAATATATTCTGTAGCCTAGTAAGTTTGGTACTTCAATTAAGATTATTAAATTAAAACAAATTCAATTTGCTTATTATATAAAGTCGCTTCTTCGATCAACCTTACAACATACATGCTTACATGCTTATTCTGTTGCTTACGTTTCTTAGCAACAGAATATTTTCCAGAATGTACTTTTAAAAATTAGGAAAGATAAAAGTAGATTAAACCGAGATTGAAATTCATCTACATTGAAATTGATTTAGAAACAGACACCAGTATATACTCTGTTTTATTTCTTTCTTTCTCTCTCTCTCTCTCTCTTACGCACGACACGGCCGAGACGTTTCGAGAGTCGACAATTTAGTTGAAGTCAACAGTCGCGAGTTCCGCGCTTCCGGATGTCGACGACGAGAGACGACAACGAGCGATAAGTATCTCTGATTTTCTCGAGTGACGCAGCCACTTTCGTGCTCGGGGTCTCGAAAGTAGGAACGAAAGAGTCTCGAAAGCTAAGTCGCACCGTTTGTAAATCGTGAAACTCCTCGCAATCGCGAGCAGTAAATTCCCCCATCGACGTTACCGTCGTTATCACCGGCCTCGTCATCTTGCGCTCTCCTTCCTCTTTGCCGACTTTCGCGAATCGCCCATTATTACATTTCTTGTTGAATCGGGATGAGATTGAAGAATCACAGGAGTGTAAAAGCCCTGCGCTTATTTCGTATCCGATAGACGTGTTTCATGTTTGTTCTCACAGTTCTCGCTGTTCGGCTGAATTTTATTCTTCATAAATTCATAATTCAAGGCTTCGAAATTCATAATTCAAGGCTTGGACTGCTTCATTAGAATGTTTCCTTTAATATATCATCTTTTGTGTTCAAAAAGGGGAAATTACCAGTCGTCCAGCAGGATACTTTACATGTCGTTAATTAGCGTTAAATTAATGCGATTTTTTTTATGAAAGTTATTTCGGTGATGCTCGCAATCATTCGCGTCATGGTATAGATTTGCGGAATTGTAAAGATAGTCGATGCAAAATTACAATTTTAACACATCGGGTTTAACACTGCTAGAATGACAAATTTATTAATCTTTCTGGAATATTAATGATATGAGGAGAATCATCGTGGGAAGAATTAATGAACGAAATTTTATCTTTGGCATACAAAGTTGAAAAACCCGTTTCTTATTTTTAATTCTTCTTGGTACATCTATCGATGTTTCGTTTTTTATCTTTGGTTATTATGGAATATTATGGGATGAGTCCATTCACAACCCGGAGATGTCTACTTTCGCCAGTATATAAATTAACTTTAGCTTTCGGTCAGCTTACTCTTCATCTTTCTCAACACAGAGAATTTTTTTTAGAGTTTATCCTGAAAATATGGTAGTTGTACAACAGCATTGTATTTGGAAGAATTTTATGTAATTCTCTCTCAACTAAAAATTTTAGATCTTTCAACAGTCATTTTTTCCATGCAGGGAATAATAGTCTTCAATCTAAAATCGTGTATATTGGAATACACGATTTCTGATGGGTTGAAATCTATCATTTCCTGCATGGAAGAAACGATTTTGCTAAAAGATCTAAAATGTTGCTGTATTCAGATCTGAAAATAAATAATTTGTTGAAAATAAAAATGGTGAGCATGGCAGCAAAAAATATTTTTATTCTAACAAGCAGTTTGAATTTGATTAAATAACCTGTTTGTGTAATCGAGGATTAAAGTTAACCTACATTGGTGGAATTAAACGAGCAAGAGTGCCTCATAACTCCGAATGCTGAATCGCGGACTTGGGACGATCCTTCTAATCCTATAAAACCGTTTGTTATCCTTTTCCCTCCCCGCTTTGTCGAATTATTTTTGACATAATAGAGCTCCTTTGAGTCTCAAGGCCACAAGGTCATTGACAGCCTGATTCGGACTCGGTTTCGAATCCGACTCGGTGGCAACAGTTGGTCGCTTGCATGTTAATCTCGTCATCGTTTAACTGTGAATGATCGTTTTAATTTTTTATTCTATGTCAGTTCTCTGCGTTTTGTCGTCGTTGTTGTTTTCACGGTTCTGCAGCATGAAATTAAACGTCTAACTGCTACAATGGTTAATCAACGCGTACCCGATTCTGCTAATTGCCTGATTAATTCTGAAATTAGCGGTATTCGGCCCGGACAACTTTCTTTGGATGAGACCGCTTTCATGCATATTTGACTTCTTTTTCTACCATACCTCGATTGACCTATATTATCAGAGGCTAACGGCTCTGGGATTCTATTCGCGAAGAGTCTTCGCGAATATAATCCCAGAGACCGTTTTTCTGCTCTCCTTTTTTGACATTTCTAATCAGAAGTGAGAATTATTTTTTATTGCGATTATCAGAGCGAGCAATAATATTCTAGAATAATAATTTTCTTATTTTTATTTTATATTTTTTATTACATAATCTCTTTGGTTAAAAAAAAAATAAATCAGAGTATTACACATTTAAACCTGAAACATTTATAGAATTTTTTATTTTTAAAATCACGAATTTTCACAGAATTTTATGTAGAGAAATTTTAGGAATTTTATTTTTAAATTTAAATTCTGTTTTTTTCTGAAAATATTGTTTCTTTGTTCATTTTTTTTATAATACAAAATGTTGACCATCAGTCAGTAATAATAAAAGTATGTCAAATATATTCACATATGTATATTCTCGAATATCTTACAAGTTGTTAAAAAAATCCGCATTTATTCATATTTTACCAGTTTTTATAAAGAAATCAGGGTGATAATAGTAAAAAACAATTTTGTACAAAATAGAACTCATTAATATTATATTATATCAATATAATGAGTTTTCCAACCAATTGTAAAAAAAACCTCTGTAAATTCGTAGAGCTATAAAACATGGTAGATATATACATATAGTCGATTTTTAGATTGCTCCATGAATTACTTTGCCCTGGTAATTTTATCAAAGTTTCTAAAACTAATAAAAGAGAAACGACTATATAACGTTCTTGGGATATTCCATTATTCTTATATTTATAAATATTATAGTCGTCAAATGTCTAACAATTTCTTAAATTGGAACGATGATAAGATTAAATTAATTATTAAGTCACGTCGTATATATATGCCAGCTGATTTATCGAAGATTCTAAAAATAACGAAAAAAGCATCTTACGATCTGGACATATTGAGTTGGAGAAGAAAGTCCTTCTACATATATATAAACAAATCCTTTCTTAACCCACCATTTGTTGCGAATTTTTCGTTGCAATTATATCATTTGATAGAGCAAAGCTTTCAGCTTTAAGAATCTGTAAAGGAATTTTCCTTTTAATCGCAGTATGATAATTTTTAAGTTATGAGCATTCAAAATCAGAATGCTCCTTTACTTAACTCGCGAATAACTCAGGTAATAAAAAATCGTAGGAACATTTTAAAATACGGTTTTGTAGGGAAAGCTTTCAAGCTTTCACGATAAGTAGTCGAAAATTTTCCATCTTTTACAGATTATTTTTATATGTAAAAATTACTAAACTCACGCAGAAACTCAATAAATATAGTAACCTTTCGAAAGTAGAGATTTCAAGCTTTAAAACTTTTTTTAAATTTAAATTTCGTTCATTTTTAACGAATTGTAACATAAAGGTCCTTTTACATATATGTAAAGTGACATATCCTTTACATATATGTAAAATGACTTTCCCCAATCCAGTATTTTGTCATTCTTAAATTTATAAATATTATAATAGTATTCAAGTATTTTATTTAATGATTTCTTGGATTGAAACAATAAATATTGTAGCTTAAATTAATCGAAAAATTATCTATAACTTATTGGTGAATTCTAAGCGAAATCGTAAAACTATTAACTTATTCTCGTAAAACTTATAAGAATTTGTGATTTATAGTATTCTAATTTTATGCGTATATATCTCGGCATGTATAATAAGATATTTTATTCATATAAATATATATATACGATTTCTCGTAAACCTTACGACTATAACAAAAAGTTGTTTGTAAAGATATCGCATAAAGGCATAAGCTTTTATAAGTTCTTATAAGTCTTACGAGAATATATTGCGAAGCCTTACAATTCTGCTTAGAACTTAGGTATTAATTTTGCAAATAAGATTCGGGGTAAGACACATCATTAATATCTGACTCGCCGGTCATTGATGAATTGATCGAGCTGTCTGAAAGGCGTATTCTGTCTGATCGCAGGAACATGATGGTTCTACGTGTCCACGGCGACGACTTGATGTTTGGTGGCGGCAGCGGCGTGATAACGCATTCGCCGCGCATACCGCAAATGGAGATGATGAAGGTCCACATTCCCTTCACCTTCAAGCTTCATGAGAGCTTCAAGAGCACGTACGCCGGTAAGTCCTCCGTTTTACGCCTCTTTACACGTCATTCGGGGTCTGATCCTCCCATGTCCTCGCGCAGCACTGGCTGGGTCAACCGCAGCGAGGCTCGTGATTTATAACTGTTTGCTTAGCGCGGCGTGTCGCAAGACTCCGCGCCTCTTGTAACAGATTTCTTATGCTGTTTTCTTAATGTTACGGCGACTCACGTTCCGTGAAAACCATAGAGACATGTAGGAAGAGCGACGTTATGGGTGAAAAAATATGTGACAAGGAAATAAGAAACTCGATTTCCACTTTGCTGTCTTTCCATATTTTTGCGTGTCTCTTTTACTTTGCAACAGGCACACCAAAAAAATTTAACACACGTTGCCGCAAAACTGGGAATTGGGGAAGTGTCAGGGAAATTGAAAACGGTTAAGGATAACTGCAAAATTTTCTGAAAAATCAAAATTCTTATTTTTAAGGATTTAATATGTTAACATTGCATCTAGACTGTTAAATTCATGTTTTATTTGAGTTATTTTTAATAATTTCTAAATATTCAATTTAACTCAAGAAAATGTATTAAATTTGACTTGAATTTATATAAATTTATTAAATTTGCATATTAAGATTGTTTATTTTAAAACTAATCACTGAAATGGATTGATTTACATTTTGACTTAATGAAAGTTGATAATAACAAAATGTTGTTTAACTTTCGAGATTGGTTTGCCATTGTACCTACCTTTGAATCTGACAGAGTAGTAACATTAATAGCAAATAATTTATATTGGAATATTATTGCTCCTTCAACAAAATATTTAACAATTTCCAATTACGAAAGTAGACAAAATTCCAAAATATTATAAAAAGTATCAGGAAAAATGGTGAAATTTTGTTTGAAAATCAGAGAAAGTTACAGAAATTTAAGATGAGAAATTTGTGACAACTCTATAATAGTAAAAATCACAAAAGCATCGTCGAATAATGAACTCCGAAGAAGTTTTCGTTCCGCATTCTGCGTTGAAAGGGAAACCGTTCTGGTATCTTAACACGCGCGTTTCCAAATAATGTCCACTACAATATTTCATATATATATATATATACGATATTTCGTCACGTTGTGCAATCATGACGTCTGCCGAAAATAAATAAAAAAATCGCGCGCAGCTCTCTATAATTAGGCAATGGGAGCCTAGAAAAATTTTTCGGTTTGCGCAAAAGAGCAAATTCTTTCGGCATAGGTGAAGGTTGATGGGCGACCGGCAAGTCCAGCTGTAGATCGAATTGGCCGTAAAGGAAAGAGACCACGACGGAATAGCCAGTTCTTCGGTCTGGTCGGAAAGTGGGTTATCTCGATAGCGCGCGAGAAAAAGACGAGAGCGCGTTGGGTGTAATTGGCATGCCAGGTGACAGCGACGGCGAAGGCGCACCGGCTGAATTACGAAACGCGCCACCTTGACCGCACCGTTGCTTGTCGCAGTCGGGTCACTGCGAGTCGCTTGATTTTTATCGGCTTTTATTAATCGCGTCCTTTACCGAGGAGAATCCGCCCCGTTCCCAATCGCTATTATCTCTCGGTTGTTCTGTTCGTTCGAATCATATCGTTTTCTTTTTTCTTCTGGGTGCCGTCTGATGCGTTCGATTGGAGGACTAAGTACTGTTACGTAATTGGCGTCAGAAATACCTTGACATGTGCAATTTAGTGCCACGTTCTGTTCGATGAAAAGTCCGGCAAAAGGATATTTAATTCCATTGAATTTAATTTCTTATATATTCACAGAATTATACTGAAATATACAATACTGTTAAATTCGTAATAATTGTAATGTCAAATTAATTATTTCTATTATACACAGAAAAATATATACAGTACACTGAAAAAAAAATGCGTCAACAGTTAATCTTAAACAAATATAATTTTATTAAATCAAGGATGTGGCGTATTTACTTTATCATTAATAGTATTATTGAGTTAACAAAATTATTTTTAATTAAAATAATACTGTTGATAGCATCGTTTTTTTACGCAAGTAACAATTACTTGTTTCAAGTACTGTAAAAATTTATGTGTGTCTGTAAATCTATCGTTGATTTATCAAAATATATTCTAAATCCTGGTCATTGAATATCTCAATTAAAATTATTAAATTAAGGTTCCATTTGCTTACTATCATATATTTATAATAGTCGCGTCTTCGATTAATTTTATAATATTTTTCAAAAGAAAATAAATTCTTATTTTCAGTACAAGATAAAGGGTTTTTATAGTAATAAGTATATTGTTTCAGATTATTATTAAGAAAATATTCTCTGCTTAACATAAACATTACCCTTTTTTTTTATAAAAAGAAAAAAGTAAATTGAGTAATAATTTTTCTTAATAATAGAATGATATTTTTCTGAGTATATATATGAAAAGAGAATGGTTTTGCTGAAGCATCTAAAGATTTAACGAGATACAAATCTGAATATAATTTGATTAGACTATCAAGGTAATTATGTAAGACAAAACTGGTTGCTGGAACATCAAAACTTTTTGCAGCACTGCTCATCATGCTTGAGTTTCCTACATAATTATTTTAATGGTCCAACAAAATTGGTTTCAGATCTATAAAAGATCTATTTCAGACCTTTCGAAATATTTTATCAAATTTTGAAATATTTCAGCAAAATCGTTCTTTTCGTGTATCTATACAAAAAATGCATTTCGAAACGCAGCTTTCCATCATTAATGCACCCTTTCCTCCATTCGAGTTGCGAGATCTTAATTTTTTTGTCCCTTTCTCTTTCGTCCTTCTGTATATTGAAAAATGAAAGGAATACATGCGTGATTTGGGTCATATTGCATTAATAGAGTTAATTTGGAGCTTAATAGTAGTAGAATTTTTTTCACTGGATCTTATTATGCAACGCTCTGAATTGAATTACGCGACGTCCTTAAAAAAAAAAGAACAGAAAAACCCGAGACTTCGTCGAGGAAAGAACTTCGTGTAACCCTCACGGTCACCCACGAGAGCAGAATTCGAAAACGCCGATTGCCCTTGATTCGCGTAGCACGAAACTCGATTCTGTGGAAACATCGACATTTAGTGTTTAAAGTACACACAAATGTATATAAATAAACAAATAAATATTGTCGATTCCGTTTCCAGTCAGTGAGCCGTGTGTATACTTTATCGATGAATGCGTGCACTTATTTCTAAGATTTTTTATATATAGAAAGTGTGATATACTACGTATGCACTAAATGCGCTCATTATCGATAAAAGTGAAGTGTGAACAGGAACCGGTATCTGAGACATGAATACTGAAGTTACTTCACTCGCAATTGTGCGTAATGTATGTGTTCCTGTTTTTCTGGAATCGTACAAAACCGTCGATTATGAAATATTAAAACTTGCGATATTATCTCGATATTAGTGTTATTATGTCATTGAATACCGATTACAAAATAAGATTCGAAGTGTATTTAATGTGTTTTCAATGTGTATTCAATGTGTGTTGCGCGAAAGTAATTAGAAGAAATAATTTTCTATCGTGTGATTTCTTCTATAAGAGATGCATCAGAAATGTGCTGCAAATCTGATCGATTTAGCAATATCAATATTCTCTGGAAAGACATAATAATGTCTAATGATAATAATCAGAATCATATATAATAACTTTATTGCATTCACTTAGAAATTATAATTGAACAACGTCTAAAATTATAAAAAAAGAGAAAAAAATATAAAATCATATAATATAATATCGGTATGTCATATCATTTTGCATCTCAATCGATTTTTATATTATAATACTAAAAAACATGCATATGACTCAAATAAAGTTGCAAACTAATATCTTTGAAATTACTCGTACTATGGATAAAAATATATGACTTATGCGACGTTTTTTTTGTTACAAACGAATCTTTTATTTATCATCATCAGGGTCCATGACATATTTGAAAATAAACTTTAATGAATTCAGTGATGATACTGACACCGACTTTTATTTCTATTTTGTCCTACTTTATGTCTGCCGTATTGGATCTGTCATTGTAAATTCTGCAATTATTCACATCGCTTTCGATCCTAGCCTATGTCTGAAGCTATATTTGTGTGCTTGAGATGGTTTTTCGTTGTCAAGTATAGTTTTGGAATATATAATACTTTTCAGTTTACATTTTAACGTCGTTAAATTAAATTCAACTTGTGTAATTGAAAAGTACATTGAATTTCACTTTTTTGACAGTGTATATTGATAGAAGTGGGTATTAGATATTTCACTTTTCAGATGAATTGGCGCACCGGCTCCCCCCCCCCCCCCCCCGACATGCGGCGAATATACGGGCGCGTTCGTCGAGAGCGAGTCGTTGGCTCGCAGTGCAAGTTACGCAAGTTGCGTAATTGCGTGCGCATGTCGCAACTGCGGGCCCCCAAGATGTTCTCTCGTGTGCGCGCGCGCGCATGTTCCAATCGCGATTGCCGCCTTTCGCAATTCGCGCGAGTGAACGAGCGCGTATTAATTCTTGTGTCATATCTGTCGATATCTCCGGGAGAGGAGATCGGCCCGAAAGGGATCAATCACTCATGATTTCGTCGTCCATCGCCGTTGTTTGCGAAACAAGCCAGTGTTCGCCGTTAACATTGACATTAAAGTCTCCTCTTCCAGTCTTGCGCAAAATCACTGGGGACAAATCGCGGTGCTCGCGGATCGAATTTACGTGATTGACGACTCGCCTGCCAATCACGTAAATCACGCGCCTCGCATTCGAATTGCATATTTGCACGCGCTAATTAACGCGACGCCCGATCGGGAAAGCTTATAGGCTTATTATAGCGTTGGCGTAACACGTTCTATTTGCATCGCAAAATACGGAAAAGAAAGAAAAAAAAAACAGCAATTTTTTGCTGAAGAATTTAAAAATTTAACTACCCTAAAACATATCTATGTAACTTAATTCCATGTAAAATTACATTGATGTTTTTCAGTGTGGATACAGCTCTGAAAAACGATTTTGCTGGATTATCAAAACAATTAGA